AGACATCTAAGTTATTAGCGATGCTGAATACCTAGGAGCAATAACTTCAAGTGATGGAAAATGATAGTCCTATATTGTTAAAGAAACTGAATTTTAAATTCAGGACCTTCCCACAAAGAAAGATCCTAGCCTAGATGACTATAGTGATAAATTCCATCAAACATTTAATATTTTTTGAAAACACAGGAGGAGGGAACACTTACAGTTTATTTTACAAAGACAAAAGAATCCTGATATCAAACTTGACAAAGACATTACAAGAACAGAAAATTACAGACCAATATCTCTCATGAACATAAATGTAAAAATCTTTAATAAAGCCTCTGTTTTGAGTTCAGTTGTGTTTCATCCCTCTCAAAAGCTATGTTGAAGTCCCAACCCCTGGTACATGTGAATGTGATCTTATTTGTAAGCAGAGTCTTTGCAGATGAGGTTAAGATGAAGTCGTACTGGATTAGTGTGGAGCCTAATCCAGTGACTGATGTCTTTATAAGAAGAGGGAAATGTGGATGGAGATAGACACAGAGGGAGGACAACATGTGACCGTGGAGGCAGCAATTGGAGTGATGCAGCTGCAGCCAAAGGCAGCCAAGGATGCCAGCAACTGCCACAAGCCCGGAAGAGGCAAGAAAGGATTATCTCCTAGAACCTGCAGAGAGAGTGTGGCCCCATGGACACCTTGGGTTCAACCTTTGAGCCTCCAGAACTGTGAGAGAATAAATTTCTGCTGTTTTAAGCCACCAAGTTTGTAGTTCAAAACAGCAGCTTGAAACTAATACAGCTCTAAGGCAAATATTGTAACACTGACTACATTTTTATATGAAACTTCTGTATGACAGAGGAACTACAGACCAAATTAAAAGAGCTAGGAGGAAATGTTTGCCATATATATAATAAAGGAGTAGCATTTACAAAATACAAAGAACTCCCAAAAACCAATGAAAAGACTATGATTAGGCATTTCACTGAAGAAAAAATGCAAATAGTTAACCTATGTGAAAAGATCTTTGACCACATTATAATCTACAGATACATAATAAAATAAGATCGTGTTCTGCACATTCTGAAAACCTTTTTTTTTTTTTTGGTTTTGTTATGGGGTGTTTATTGGGGAGGTGGATATTATTGTTGGTAGGTCTTTTGTAAAACTGTTCTCATATACTATTTTTGAGAATACAACTGGTACAATTATTTTAGAGGCTAATTTAATCAGCTTAAAACACGTAGTGCCTTCTCCATATCTACCTGACAGAAATACTGTCATATATGCACAATAACAAGGACTTATATTCAGTATTGTTAGTATTTGTTTAAAAAATAAAAAAGGAAACAGCCTAAATGTCCAACAGTAACAAAATAATAACATAAATTCTGATATGTCCATACTCTAAGACAGCAAAAAAAAAAAAAAAAAGTAGTCAGATCAAATATACTAATGTGGCAAGATCTCTAAGACATTTTTAAGTGGGTCAAAAAGCAACTTGCAGAACAATATCAATTGTGTTTGTTCATAAAACTATTTATGTATATGTAAATAGCTCTCACTGCATTGCAAGAGATCTAAAAGGATACGCCTAAACATTACAACACTGGTTAGACTAGTCGGAGGTGATCTCTATTGTTCAAGGGGGACTTTCAGTTGGATGTGTTTTGTTTGCATCTATTATGAAATGCATTCAGATATTTTATTATTTAAAAAAATAAAGACATCACTTATATAGCAACTATACTTCTTCAGATTTGGAGCATTGTATGCAGTCTAAAATTTGGCTTTCAGAAATTCATCTGTCATATATATATATATATATATAATTTATTTAGAAGTAAGTGTTTTCAGAAGAATTTCAAGGATAGCACAAAGAACTCCCAATTAACTTCACCCAGATTCCCTAGTTGTTAACATTTTATACATTTGCTTTCTCTTTCTCTCCTCGTTATTCTTTTTCTGAACCATGTAAGAGAAAGCTGCAGATTTACCACCAGTGTGTATTTCCCCCAAACCAGGACATTCTCCTATTTACCCATCAATGTAAAAATCGTTTTATGCATTACAAATACTGAGTTGTACATATTGTTCTATTGTTCTGCAACTTGCTTCCCTCCCCCTTCTCTCCAAAAGGCAGTCATCCAAATCAAGAAATTAGCATTGATACAACATTGCCTTGTGATCCATAGGACTGATTCAGATTTCCCCAGCTCTCCTGACATTTTCTTTTTCCTCTCCAGTCCAGGATCCAGTCCAGGAACATAGCTATCCATACTTGTGTCTCTTCAGTTTAGGCTTTCCATGTCATTCATGACCTTGACAATTTTAAAGAGTAACACCTTTTCTTGTGTGGGATGTCCTGTGACCTAGGTCCCCTTGATGTTCCCCATGCCCAGACTCAGGCCCAGCGGTGTTAGCAGGAACACCATGGACACAGCGCTGCACTTTTCTCACCGTGTTAGTCAGAAGTCACATGATGGTGACCTTCCCCACCACTGGGGATGTTGAACTTGCTCGTAGGTCAAGTTTGTGTCTGCCAAATGTTTCCACTACAGAGTTGCCATTTATTCCCTTTGTAATTGATAAGCAGTTTATAGGAGATCCTATGAGACTATGTCAATATCCCATTCCTCATTAAACCTGAACCCATCACCTGCATCATTCACATTGATGATTTATGCCTGAATCAGCTGATTTCTGCCTATGATGCTTGTCAAGTGGTGATTTTTCGATTTCCATTATTTCTTTTTTGCTGTTGTTTTTATTTTTAATCTTTTAAATTTATTTTTAATTGACATGTATTGATTATACATATTGATGGGTACAGAATTATGTTCCAATACATGTATACAATATGTGATCACATCAGGGTAATTAGCATATTCATCATTGCAAAAATGTATCATTTCTTTGTGATGAGAGAGCATTTGAGCTCCTCTCTTCTAGCCAGTTGAGAGCATACAATAAATTCCTGTTAATTGTAGGTGCCTAGCACTGCAATAGACCCCTAGAACTTATTTGTTCTTTCTAGCTGTGATTTTGTATCCATTAACCAACCTCTCCCTATCCCCCTACCGGCTCCCCTTCCCAGCCTCTAGTAAACACAATTCTATTCTCTACTTCCAGAGCTCTTACATATGAGTGAAAACATGAGGTATTTAGTTTTCTGTGCCTGACTTATTTTACTTAACATGTTTTCCTGGCTCCTCCATGTTGCTGCAAGTGACAGATTACATTTTTTTTTTTTAATGTCTGAGTGGTATTTCATTATGTGTATATACTATATTTTCCTTATCCATCCATCTATTCATTATTTCTTTTTTGTTTATTGGCATTCTACCATGAAAAAAGTGCTTTCCCTTCTATTTATTTATTTATTTAATCTGTATGAACTCGTGGGTTCCTATTTTAGTAACAGATTAGTAACCCATTGAATATCATCACTATTTGACTTTGATGTCCAGATTGTCTCATGTTTGGCCAGTGGGAGCCCCTTCAGAGTGGCCTCTGTGTCATTTTGACATGCCTTCATCATCCTTTTTGCACTTCTTTACTGTGGTAGGCTGAATAATGATTCCCCAAAGATATCCATCCACGTCCTAATCTCTCAGAGCACCTGTATTATCCAGGTGGGCCCAAGGTAACCATAAGGTCCTTGTAAGGGGGAGGCAGTAGGGTTAGAGAAGACAGAGATGCAGAAGATGTGAAGGCAGAAGCAGAGAGTCAGAGAAAGAGACGTGAAGATGCCCGGCTTATGCAAGAAGGGGCTGTGAACTTCTTAACATGATGAATGTTCTACTTCCTTTCCTTGCAAAGCTTGTCTGTTGTTATGATGAAATCCAAGCATTTTATGGCATTGTATGGATTTTTGTTAAACTAGAAACTAAATTACATTTTCCAATTATTAATTTTTCCCTATGCTCTTGAATTCTAACATGATTTTTTTTATAGTTAGCCTATAGATGGAAGCACCTTGTTTTCATTTCTACCAAAGCCACGTTGCTAGAAACTAAATTACATTTTCCAATTATTAATTTTTCCCTATGCTCTTGAATTCTAACATGATTTTTTTTTATAGTTAGCCTATAGATGGAAGCACCTTGTTTTCATTTCTACCAAAGCCACGTTGGGAAAATTTGTTTTACAAAGTAATGCATTTTTAATAACTTTTGTGATAAAACTTTGCTAAGAAAATTATAAAGACTCCAATTAAGGCTTACAAATTACCTTGGTTATTATAGTTAGTAGTCCTGCAATGTGATAATATCAGTATTTAAGGAAGAGTAAATTACAAGGGTAAAATAGGCAAGTGAGCCATCAGTTGCCTTAACTGCTGTTGTGATTCTGTATTTCCAGGGTTTAGCCCATGTTTCTGGGACATTGATATCGAACAGATCAAGTTGGTATCTTGATCCATAATTTCTTCGAACTAAGGTCCCTAAGCGTCTTGTTTTAAGAGGGGTGTCGTTGAGGTGATAAATTGAGTATAAATTTTGGATTCAACCTAACAAATTCTAAGAATGACACTTCTTAGCTGGCAGCCTGTGGGCGAGTCACTTAATCTCTAAACTTAAATTTCTTTATTTCTAAAATAAAGAAATTCCACTTTCACTATTTCTAAAATGAAGATAATATCTTTTTTTAAAGATAATACCTTATAAGGTTTTAGGAATTAAATGAGAGATTGTAAATAAAATGCTACACATATAGTAAGTTTTCAATAAATGGCAGCTATTAGTAATAAGAATTTTAGTTGCCTAGAGTGACTTTTTACTGTGCAGATCAACTGTAATGATAATCATAAAACTTAAGTGTCACTTCTTACTAATCCCTCTATCAACAATGAACTGAAATTATTTTCCATTCTGTGGGTTCTTTATTTCTTCCAAGAAATTTTAAAGTGCACATGGGTTAACCAGATTGTATTTTAATTTTACATATTTATATTATATTTAATAAAATATACAGCAAATAGAGAGTATACATTACTGTTGTTACTAAAATGGTATATGTCCATTTTGTGGACATTTAATGAATATCAAGTGTATTCAAAACATATATATGTTTTTATTATTAAACCTTATGTCAGGTGGATATATTATAGAGTATAATCTTAACTCAGTTGTTAGAAAACAGATAAAATAGGAAATATAAGATCTCAGCTTCAGTAAGACTAGCCAGATTATTATTATTTCACCATAATGGCAACATCTGTCAAGGAAATTAAAACAAAATTTCCTCCCTACAGTGATTCTGCTTGCTCCAGCTGAAGCTGTGTATATACAGGGAATGCCAGGAAACTCTGACATACCGCTGGAGCTAACACTTCACAAATATCTTATGTTTTTTCCTTTTAGCAACTTCACTGTGTGGTGGTTGGAAGTGAAAATGCCAAGCGATATTTTGAAGCGGTTCAAGGATCAAAAGAGCATCAAGGAGAGCTTTTTGGGATCAATAACCTCTTCAAACTAAGGTCCCAAGGGTCTTGTCTTACGAGGGACATTCTGGAGGTGTGAAATTGTTCTGTGACCTTTTCAGTGATATTTTAAATATAGTTTTCTCCCTCAGGAAGCTTGAAATACAATCGCTGGTGCCTTTTCAGAGAAATTTTTCATTTTATTTATCATAAATGCCTTATGTTTAGAATTTCTACTTTTAGAGAAATAGGAAATGAATTTTTGTACCTCTAAACTAAGGTTTTCCCATGCATAATTACACACAATACACACACACTAATACAAATACTAAAATATACTAGATAATGTGGCCTCCAAAGCTATTTTCAGACTGGCAAAGAGTCTATTATTTTGAAAACAGCTGTTGAAGAGATTTTCCTAAATAAACAAAAATATAAAATGTGTTTTGATGAAAAGTTACCAAATACTCCCTGAGATGCACTCTCATGTCTCATGGAGATTTTTGTTTTCTGTTCCCAATAAAAATTCCACACCAGTATTTCAAACTCTCTCAGTTGTATTCATCCTCAGCAAACAGATGTTTCTTATTCTCAAACAAAATATTTACATCCTTTTAAAAAATGTTTAAGTTCTTTAATATGCCAGAATACTAAGGATATTAATCTATTTTCTAATTAATATTAATATGGGTATCATAAAATCCTGGAATATCATCTTTATCAACCTCCTTGTTATTATAGATGGTAAAACCAAGTCTCAGAGAACTTTTTTTCGAGTCTCTTTAGAACTTTAGAACTTTTTGACTTTCAGGACCTTGTAGTAAAACCTTAATGTGCTTCATTTATTCAGTAAGTACCATTAAGACAGGTCAAGGAACAATTGGTTCCTGTCCTAAGTTTAGACCATCTTGATGGAAGGTGGAAGAAAACATTATACATATAAACATGTAATGTCAGTAATCATATGCTAAGCAAGGTCACTAGCAGTTCAAAATGACCACCGGTGGATGTGGAAGAGGAACATATATTTTATTTGTATCCTGCAACTATTATAACTGTTATACAAGGTCAGATTACACTGCCAAGTTTTTATTTTATAGTAACTGCATTTGATTCTGAATTGAGTGGCTCATTTAAAGTAGCAGTTCAAAATGACCACCGGTGGATGTGGAAGAGGAACATATATTTTATTTGTATCCTGCAACTATTATAACTGTTATACAAGGTCAGATTGCACTGCCAAGTTTTTATTTTATAGTAACTGCATTTGATTCTGAATTGAGTGGCTCATTTAAAGTCTTCTTTCTGGTTTTGTTCTTGTTGTTGTTTTTAAGTATGCTGTTTTTTTAAAGGACCTGTTCTTTCCCATTTCTCTTCTCTTATCAATAGTTTTGTCCGTCTTCTAGCTGTCCTCCCCCACCCCTAGATGCTAACTCTGTTGCAGAGTAGTACCTACATGCCTGTGTTCATGTTTCTAATTTAAAATCAGTCTACAGAAATATAAACATTATGTTATTTATCCTGTTTTCTGCCATATATGACATAGTTTAATTGTCTATTTTATCAGAATAGCCACCTTTTTCTTTGTTAAACAAGTGTTATGTAAAACATATCAAGATGTCAAGTTATTAAGTGGAAAGTTATCTTGTTCAGAGGTTGTCTAAGTATATCTTGTTTCTCCTTCAGGAGTGTTTATTGACGACAAGACCATCCATGTCTTACATTTGTGGTAAAATGTGCTTAACATTTTGCTAGGCATATTATTAGCACTTATTAAATTAAGTTAATTTTGAATTAATATTGTTCATTTGTCATTAACTAGAACTTAAAATTATCCAGGCCTGATTAGATTCATGCTGCTTTTGGCCAAAAGATATTTTAAAATATTATTATTCCAAGCCCTGTATAATGGAAGCATACATTATAAAGTAAAAGAAGTAGATTACTTCATGTGATACATTTTTAATTTTTAAAGATTGTAGAAAACCCTTTTAAAATATTTTAAGGGCCGGCCCGGTGGTGCACTGCTACAGTGCGCCGCTTGGGAGCGCGGTGGCGCTCCCGCCGGGGGTTCGGATCCCACATACAGACCGGTTCCCGCTCACTGGCTGAGTGAGGGGCGGGCGCAACACCGAGGGTTGCGATCCCGTTGCCGGTCCCGGTCTGGTGCGGGCGTGACACTGAGGGTTGCGATCCGTTGCCGGACACGAAAAAAAAATAAAATAAAAAAGATAAAATATTTTAAGATGTAGAAATCCGAATTTATATAACACTTTTAATCATATGATTTGAGGGTAATTTAGTTCTATTTTGCATTGACTTTCTGTTATGTATATTATGGTTTCCCTTTAGAGATAGATACTGAAAGTTCATTTCACAGATATTTTTTGAGCATCTGCTAAATGTCAGGTACTATTCATAGAGCTAGGCATAAATAAAATAAATAAATAATAAAATTAATTAAATAAAATAGACAAAAAATCCTGTCTACAAGAAATGTACATTCTATCTGGGGGAGACAATTATAAACAAAATAAGTGAAACATATAGTATGTTATGATAGTAGATTGTAAGGATAAAAATAGAGCAGGGAAAGGAAATAGGGACTGCCAAGGAACAAGCATTGCAATTTTAGATGGGGAGGCCAAGGAAGCCTTCACTGTGAAGGTTGCCTGTGAGTCTTGGAAGAGGTGAGGAAGGAAGGAATGTTTTAGACAGGGAACAAATGCAAAGGCCCTGCAGGAGGGGCATGCCCTGCGTGGTTTCAAAATGGCAGGGAGACTAAAGTGGCTGGAGTAAACAAGAAAGCAAGAGATGGGGCAAGAAAGATGACAGAGAGCCAGGTCACGCAGGAACTTTGGCTCTTACATTGAGTGGGACAAAAAGAAATTGAAGGGTTGTGAACAGAAGAATGATATAGTCTGATTTCTATTAGCTGGAGTAACTATTGAGAGTCAGGCAATAGAAGTACAAGGACAGAAGCAAGAAGCGAGTTAGGAGGATACTGTGGTAATACAGCCGAGAGTTGATGGTAGCTTGGGCCAGGGTGATAGTGGTGGATGGCCTGAGAAGTGGCTGGGTTCTGTATATATTATCCAGGTGGAGCTGGAAGGATTTGGTCGTGGATCAGAGATATAGGGCATGAGAAAAAGAGGAAGTAAGGATGGCTCCAAGGTGTTTGACCTAAGCAACTTGAAGACTAGAGTGGCCATTTACCTATGTAAAGGAGGTTCAACAGCTTGAGGATATCCAGGGCTGCCAGTTGTCTATGTCGTAGCCATTTAGCTTCTGTTGCAGAGGAAAATGGCAATGCTGAGGAGTAGGCTCTCCACCCCCTTCCAGTAGTGTCCTCCAGGCATGGGGAGTAAAGGGCTCATGCCAATCAGAAACTGTTGGTCATTCTCTACAGTTCTGTAGGGGAGAGTCTCTCATTACCCCGGTTACCATGTGGCAGGAACCATGCCATCAGTATGTCTGTGTATTTATAAGTTGGGCATTTGTAACTCTGGTGACGGTAGTATTACTTCCCCTTGTTCTATCAACAAAAGTAGCCTTAGAAAGAGAAATAATTGATTTCCTTTATTTATTTATTTTTTATTGAAACATAACTTGTACATATGTGTGGGGTATAGCATTGAATATCAGTACCTGTGTCCAATATGTGATGCTCAAAACAGTATAAATAGTAAATTCAACATTATACAGTATAATCATTTTTTGTGGCCCTGTACCAATTTCTTGTTAAGCCCCACTCCTCCCCAGTTCCCATGTCTGATAACCTCAGTTCTGTTCTCTTTTTGAAATTTTGACGTATTGTTGTAATTGTTGTATCTTTTAAAAATTTTTTTTAAATTTATTTATTTTTTTAGCTTCCACTTGTGAGTGAAGACATGCAGTATTTCTTTTTCTGATCCTGGCTTATTTAACTTTATTTTCTCTAAGTTCATCCATGTTGCTGAGAATGGCAGAATTTCATTCTTTTTTTATGGCATAGTAGTATTCCATTGTGTATATATACCACATTTTCCTTATCCAATTGTCCATTGATGGATGTTTATGTTGGTTCCATGTCTTGGCTATTGTAAATAGAGTTGTGATAAACATGGGACTGTAGGTATCCCTTCGACATGATAATTTCCATTCCTGTGGGTATATACCAAGTCATAGGATTGCTGGATCACATGGCATTCTATCTGTAGTTGTTTGAGGAACCTCCATACTGTTTTCCATAAAGGCTGCACCAATTTACAGTCCCATCAGCAGGGTAGGAGGTTTCTCCTTTCTCCACATCCTCACTAGCATTTGTTATTCTCTTTCTGATAATAGCCAGTCTAACTGGGGTGAGATGGTTTCTCAGTGTAGTTTTGATTTGCATTTCCCCAATGCTGATTGATTTTGAGCATTTTTTCATGTGTCTGTTGGCCATTTGTATATCTTCTTTTAAGAAATGCCTGTTCAGCTTCTTTTCTCATTTTTTTAATTTGGTTACTTGTTTTTTTACTGTTGAGTTCCTTGTATATTCTGGATATTATTCCCTTGTCAAATGCATAGTTTGCAGATATTTTCTACCACTATGTAGGTTGTCTTTTGTTAACTGTTTCTTTTGCTGTGTAGAAGCTTTTTAGTTTGATACAATCCCATTTGTTTATGTTTCCTTTTATTGCCTGGGCTTTTGGGTCATATTAATAAAGTCTTTTGCCCAGTCTTACTTCCCGAAGTGTTTCCCCTATGTTTTCTTTTAGGAGTTTTATAGTTTCAGGTCTTATATTTAAATCTTTCATCCATTTTGAGTTAATTTTGATATATGGTGAGAAGTATGGGTCTAGTTTCATTCTTCTACATATGGGTGTCCAGTTTTCCTAGCACCATTTATTGATGAGGCAATCTTTTCCCCAATGTATGTTCTAGGTGCCTTTGTCAAAGATCAGTTGGCTGTAAGTAAGTGGGTTGATTTCTGTGTTCACTATCCTTTTCCGTTAGTCCAAGTATCTTTTTATGCCAGTACCAAGCTGTTCTGGTTACTGTAGCTTTGTAGTATATTTTGAAGTCAGGTAGTGTAGTGCCTCTGGTTTTGTTTTTTTGCTCAGGACTGCT